GCAGGCCGACGCCGGCCTCGACGCTGGCCTCGCCGCCTGCGGGGGTGGGGCCAAAAGAGCCCCGCCGCCGACGACGACGACGACGACTGCGTGACCACATTCACCGTCCGTAAGGAGGACGAGGAGGGGAAGGAGGAGGAGGAGGAGGGGGAGGACGAGGAGGAGGAGGAGGAGGGGGGAACCAAAAGGAACCAAAAGGAACCAAAAGGGAACCAAAAGGAACCAAAAGGAACCAAAAGGAACCATATTGGTGCCTTTTGGTTCCTTTTGGTTCCCTTTTGGTTCCTTTTGGTTCCTTTTGGTTCCCCCCTCCTCCTCCTCCCTCGTCCTCCTCCTCGTCCTCGTCCTCCTCCTCCTCCTCCTCGTCCTCCTCCCCCTCCTCCTCCTCCTCCTCTCCTCCTCCACCTCCTCCTCCCCCTCCTCCTCCCCTCCCCCCTTCCTTCACCTCCTCCTCCCCCTCCTCCCCCTCCCCCCTTTGCAGCGCCGGAGTGGGAGTTGTTCGTCGGCGCGGGCGTCGGTGCTGGTGTCGCTGCGGGCGTGGGCGCCTGCGGGAGCCCACCCCGTCGTCGGTCTCCTCCTCCCCCTCCTCCTGCTCCTCCTCGACCTCGCCCTCGTCCTCCAGGTCTTCCTCCTCCTCCTCCTCCTCAGTTCCTCCTCCTCCGCCTCGTGATCCTCCTCCTCCTCCTCGTGGTACTACTGAACACTACTGGTGGTACTACTGGACACTACTGGTGGTGCTACTGGACACTACTAGTGGTACTACTGGACACTACTAGTGGCACTACTGGACACTACTAGTGGTACTACTGGACACTACTAGTGGTACTACTGGACACTGCTAGTGGTACTACTGGACGCTACTACTGGTACTACTGGACACTACTAGTGGTACTACTGGACACTACCAGTGATACTACTGGACACGACTAGTGGTACTACTGGGCACTACTAGTAGTGTCCAGTAGTACCACTAGTAGTGTCCAGTAGAACCACTAGTAGTGTCCAGTAGCACCACTAGTAGTGCCCAGTAGTACCACTAGTAGTGTCCAGTAGTACCACTAGTAGTTTCCAGTAGTGCCACTAGTAGTGTCCAGTAGTACCACTAGTAGTGTCCAGTAGTACCACTAGTAGTGTCCAGTAGTACCACTAGTAGTGTCCAGTAGTACCACTAGTAGTGTCCAGTAGCACCACTAGTAGTGTCCAGTAGCACCACTAGTAGTGTCCAGTAGTACCACTAGTAGTGTCCAGTAGTACCACTAGTAGTGTCCAGTAGTACCACTAGTAGTGTCCAGTAGAGGCTGATGTTGCTCGTGCTGGTCGTGGGCCTAGCTCACGATCTGCGGTGTCTGGGGGCGAGGCGGAGCAAGACTACATCCGAGCCAGAGAAAACGAACTGATATCGTGGAGGACGCCCGCGGCGAGGCCTGGACTTTTCGTGCGTCGGCGGGCCAAGCGGGACCTCGAGGAGGATTTCATACAAGCTCGTGAGAGCGAGCTTCTGGATTGGAGCAAGTTCATTTCGGAGGGGACAGAACGACACAGACCACGGCCTTTCGTGCGGCGGCGGAAGCTGATCGACGAGTGTCGTGGAAGTGTCCGTTCTGAGAGTGGCGCGCGAGGCTTAGCTGGCATTTCGCCGCCAAGAGACGATGTCACTTGTCCTCAGCAATGATGCCAGATTTCTGTCCTCAGTCTTTCTGGCTTGGCACATGCTTGAGGACCATATCAAGAGGGAGTGGCTTCGGTGGTCTCCCCTCTTTTGAGGGGGGCACGGCCTGGTGGGTAGTGCTGTGCGCTGCCCCAGGTGACGCCGCATACCTCGGCTCCCAGAGAGTGGCTTCGGTGGTCTCCCCCCGTTTGGGGGGGGCACGGCCTGGTGGGTAGTGCTCAGCGCTGCCCCAGGTGACGCCACGCACCTGGAATGGAGCCCCCCCTCGGTTTGAAGTCCGAGGCTAATCCATTGCTCACGCGTCGCTCGTTGAATGGGTTGCGAGGAGCATGAGCCGAGGAAAAGGAGGAGGAGGAGGAGGAGGAGGACGAGGAGGAGGAGGAGGAGGAGGAGGAGGAGGAGGAGGAGGAGGAGGAGGAGGAGGAGGAAGGAGAAGGAGGGGGGGAGGAGGAGGAGGAGCTGCATATAAGAATGATGGAAAAACATGGCTTCTAATAAATGATGAAACTAATTATGGCTTTTTGCGCGCGGATGGGGGGGGGGAGGGAGTGGGAGAACGTAGGGGGTGGGGGGAGGGATGAGGTAGGAGGGATGAGATAGGAGGGAGAAGGGAGGAGGAGGAGGGGGAAGAGGAGGAGGAGGAGAAGGGGAGGAGGAGGAGGAGTAGGAGGAGGTTGACGAGCTAAATATAGTAATGATGAAAAGCTGTGGCGTTTGGTAAACTGATTATTCACTGCGTGGAGCTCACCATATGTGCATCTACTCGCATGGGCCTGGCCGTCGTGAATGTCTAGGCGCAAGCGCTTTCTAATATTAGCGGGCTTCAGTTGTGACGGTCTGGACATCAATATAACTGCGAATGAATCGGAGTGTGAATGAGCCTCAGTAGTGCGAGCGCGTCTCTGTGCATGAGCCTGGGGCCTCCTGGGGCCTCCTGAAACCTACTGGGGCTTCCTGGGGTCTCCAGGGGCCTCTTGGGACCTCCTGGGACCTCCCAGGAAGGTTTCGTGCCTCAGGAGGGGCGCGACCTATAGCAACATACGTGCATAAAACATTGCGGATTAGAGCCACAAGAGAAGAGCAATCTATAGGAACATGCGTAAAACACCAAGGACTCGTGCCCCAGGAGAGGCCCACAACATAGGAACAGGAGTAAAACATTTAGGATTGTGTTCACAGGAGAAGGAACATCTATATAAACAGACGTAGAACATCAAAGAATCGTGCTCCAGGTGAGGCACAATCGATAGGAGCATACGTAAAACACATGGGATTGGAGCCACTCCTGTTGCCTTCTGAGGCCTCCTGCTCCTGGGGCCTCTCGGGGCCTCCTGTTGCCTTCCGAGGCCTCCTGGCGTTTCCTGTTGCCTCCTGGGGCCTCCTGTGGTTTCCTGAGGCCTTCTGTATGCCTGAGTATGAGTAAGTCTGTGTATGAGTAAGTCTGTGTATGAGTAAATCTGGGTATGAGTAGGTCTGTGTATGAGAAAGTATGTGTGTGTACGTCTGGGTATGAGTAAGTCTGAGTGTGAGTAATATGAGTAAGTCTGGTATGAGTAAGTCTGTGTATGAGTACGTCTGGGTGTGAGTAAGTCTGTGTATTGAGTGTGAGTAAGTCTGAGTATGAGTAGGTCTGAGTATGAGTAAGTCTGAGTATGAGTAAGTCTGAGTATGAGGAGGGGAGGAGGAAAGAAGAGGAGGAAGAGGCAGTAGGCGGCGTCCAAGTAATACCAAGAACCCCATCTTAGGATATGGAGAATAAAAAACTATGGCTTACTGGCATGAGAGTACAATCCTCAAATGGGGCACAGCTCTGAGATAGGAGGAGGAGGAGGAGGAGGAGGAGGAGGAGGAGGAGGGGCCGGAGGACGAGGAGGAGGAGGAGGAGAGGGAGGAGGAGGAGGTGGAGGAGGAGGAGGAGGCGGAGGAGGAGGAGGAAGAGGAGGAGGAGGAGAAGGAGGAGGAGGAGGAGGAAAAGGGGGGGAGGAAGAGAGGAGGAAAAAGTTTTTTGCAGTAGATTTGCACGCAACTCCAGACACCACAAGGAGGTGGGCGAGCCCTCCAAGGGAGGCCAAAGGGACAATCGCCAAAAGAGCCGACCGCGGTGCCGCGTTCGCCACTACCTCTGATCAAAGGCGGGTGGTGCCGCGCTGCCTTTAAACGCGACGCGACGGCGTTGTGACATTTCAAGGCTGCTACTTGCGCCACCACGGATTGGGCCCAGTGGGAGACGCTCATTCAAGACTGAAGGACCAAACGAGTTTGGCACGGACGAAGTTTCGCCTACTCGCAAAACTCCGATGGCGCGAATGAGTCGATTGATGCGGGTGATGTGATGATGAGAAGGACATGACTTCGCCATCATGACAACGCGCGGCGCCGTGGAACGAAAAGGGACCAAAGGGAACCAAAGGGAACCAAAAGGGAACTAAAAGGGAAACGAAAGCAAACGCCAAAGGGTACCGCGGAACCTCCCATGAATGGCTACACAACCCCTTTGCTATCCCCCTCCTGTCGCCCGACCCGAGAGCCCGTTCCCCCCTCACGTTGCCCCTCAGGGAGGCGCTCTGGTTTTCGGGCCGCTCCTGAGAATTCGGGGCGGGGAGCCCATCCGTGGCCGAGGCTCGTCGCTGCGAGAGGAGCGCCCCGCGCTTCACCTCCGGCACTCCTCGTGGTAGTACGACGGCCGTGTCCCGGACATGTGATGTGCTGGCTTGCTCAGTGCGCGGTCTCCGCAGGTTTTGACCCATCCCCAAGGCCGGTGTGTCATCCCGAGCGTTGTCTGAAGGTTTTTGGGGCCCGGCGAGGGCCACCAGAGGCCAAGCATTACCAAAGCTCCCCGTCGTGTTTTTGTTGTACGACGCGAGCATGTCCGGGGTCTCTGCCCCTCACTCTGGGCCCATTTTGATTCGATCGATCCGATTCGCCTGGCTCGATCCGATTCGATTTTGATTCCTGTCGATACGATGCGGCCCGATGCTAGCGCACAGCGTAGCTGTGCATCCTGGCGCGGCCGATCCGATTCGATCTCGACTCGGTGCCGATGCGGCCCGATCCGGCGCTCATGTCGATTCGATCCGATTTCCCGATTCGATTCTGGTGGATCGCCGCCCCTCTCTCGGGGCCTTTCGCGCCGCCTCCGCACCCCGAAGCGACCAAGATCGAAGAGGGCGAAGAGCGGAACAGAAGAGAGAGCGCAAGTTCAGCGAGAGGGGGTGGGGGCCGCGCCTTCGCGGCCCTGGCCCACCACTCCGCCGTCCCCGCAATCAGGGGCCGGGGCTTGCTGATGCGGTGGCCTTTGTCCTTCTGGGCCTGCTCCCGCGCCGCCGCGCTCTCCTCCGCCCCGCCCCCCTGGGCGGCGCCGCGGCGGACGCAGCGGCCGCGGCTCCTGGGGTGAGCCGCGCCCCTCGCGCCGCGCCGCACCCCCCGCCGCCCCAGCCTGGGGGTGGGCTCCAGCGGCGGCCGGGCGCTCCGATCGGGGTGCGAGCGCCCAGCCGCCGGGCTTCCCGAAGTACGAAGGAGGAGCACACACGGCAGGTCCATGCGGCGATGGCGCGCCAGTCAAGGTGGAGCTCCGCTCCGTAGGACGCAAGGGTGCCCTCGAGGGCGCGACGTTGTTCGCGTTTCGGGCTTCGCGGTTCGGCTCCGATTCCTCACCCTCTTCTCCCTTGGGGGGCGGCGCGAGGGCTCGAAGTTATTCGCGCTTCGCGCAGCGCGTGGCGCAAAGCTCGGACTCAGGCGCCCTTGAGAACGACGCGGAAGCACCGAGGGACGCGGTAACGCCACAGGACCCGACGGAACGCAATTTTTAATGATCGGGGCCGCGATCGGTTCAAGGTTGAACGATCGGCGCGGTGTCGAAAACCTTGCGCGCGCCGACGCGGCACGAACCTACCGCATCTGGAGAGGGAAACACACTGACAGAAGCGCCAACATTCAGAGTTCCGCGCGGATTCGTCGGATCGGCGCTGGGCGGCGCCGCCGCCCCTGGTGCGTTCCGCGCGCCAGGGAACGGGGGTCCTGCGCCGATCCGAGGAACCTGCGGGCCTCAGCGTTTTTGATGTTTGTGCCATTGTTTGTTCCCCGATGCACGGAACGAAGACCGGCACTGGTTCCCATCCGTTTTGAACAAAATTCGCTGTCGGCCTCGCTGCGGACGTGATCCATTTGAGACAAGTCGTCGCGTATCCAACGGCGGTCGCTAGTGGTTTTGGTCAACATTTTGCTGTTGGGCATCGTACCCAGATTTCCCGTACCTATTCCGGGTATCCAAGCAATAACAGAGCAGCAGAGGAAGTCGAAGCAGACAGTCACCAAACAGTAGCAGAACCGCCGAGGAAGTCGAAGCAGACAGACAAAGCAGAAAGCAGGCAAAGCCTTCTTCAGGGTCGCAGAGGAGGAAGATCAGGAGAATCGCCTAGGAAGTCGAGCAGAACGTCGAGAAGACCGAGGACATCGAACCAGTCCGGGTCGCGGGAGGGGAGATTCGAGGCAGGAAGTCGGAATAGAGTCGAAAGACGGTTCCCCTTGCCTTACCACAGACATCCGACGATCTGTTTTTTCATTGCGCGGCCCCAGAGTTCCCGTCCCCGTCCCCGGGCCCAGCGTTTCGCTCTGGATCCGTTTCTGAGGGCCCTGGGGCCCGATGACGGCCGAATTTTGGGAACAGAGACGTTCGGATTGGACGGACCATCTCCGTCACCCCAGCAGTCTAGCACTATGGGTGCGTCGCCCCCCCAAGGGGGCGTCGCGCGCGCCCAGAAGTCTTCCACGCATAAGCTGTATGGCGGGCGCTTTCTGGCCATACGACTTACTACAAGATGGCCATTCTGCATGTTTGGTGTGGACGCACGCCCCCCATGAGGACACACAGTACCAGCATTCCCAAATGAGCGACGCAAACGGGGGGTCATCTTCACCGGCCTTGGCGCGTGAGCTGCTCGCTTGACGTCCCGCGTAAGCGCCCTCGTCTCCAACGTGGCGCGCCACGCGTAGAGTCGCCGTGCCATCTCGCGTCAGACAACCCTCTCTTGGTCGCCGCTCCAATCGCATCGTCGGAGATCTGGAGCCGCGACCTGGCCGCGCGGCCTCCCTGGTGGCGCCCCCCCCTCCTTCCTTGCGCCGCCCGCCCCTGTCCCGCGCGCGGCCCCGCCCCTCTGGGAGCCGCCAGGGGCGCGGCGGCCTCGCGCCGCCCGCCAGGCGTGGCAGCCGCCGGCGACCCTGGACCTCCGGAAGATGTTCAAGGAGAACCAGAAGTTCCCCTCGTGATCGTTTTCTTATGCACTGCTTTGCCGATCGGCGCGGGCCCTCGCACCCCTCCCCTCCCCCTCCCCCCCCCCCCTGGAGTAGATCTTGGCTGTTTTTCTGGCGCCTGTGTCGAGCAGGTGGAGTCTCCCCAAGAGGACGCACAGTTCCAAACAGCCGCACTAAGCAGAGGTCCAGAGCCAGACCCCCCCCCCCCCCCCCCCTCCGCCCAATGTCGAAACGCCGAAAAAGAAAATTCGGACCTTCGCCCAGTCATTAGGATGCAACTCTTGGGAGGTCAAACTCCGACTTTGCCCCGGTCCGAATTTCGGCTTACCTGATCCGATTCGAGCCCGTTGAATCCGTCTTAATCCCGCTTAATCTTGCCGAATCCCGTGTTAGCCGGCTTATGCCCGCTTACTCCGCGGCCTACTCCAGCATGGCAGCCCCCCAATGGGGTTTGATATGTTGTAATTATTCTGATGAGGACCGTCTCAGAAGTTCTTCTCCGCCCAGACGTGCTCGCGTCGCGGACCCGTGGAGAAGCTTCACGACGGAAGGCTCGTGGTCGTTTTTTCGGCCCCAGGGCGCCCCCGCTGGACCTGGCCTCGGGTCCGTAGGGCAGGTGCTCGGGATGGAGGGCTGGCGTCTGGGAGGGGGTCGGGGCCTCCAGGGACTCCGTACATCCACGTCACCCCAACGTGCAGACGAATGCTATGTCTGCGTCGCCCCCCAAGGGCGACGAGCGGGCGCTCCCTGGCCACACCGCTTGGGAAACGATGTATTACAAGATGTGTATACTATATGCTCGGGTCGGACGCGCGCCATCGAGGAGGACGTGTAGTACTAGTTACTGGTAAGTCTCTGTGCGTCCCAGTATGCGTTAACTGAATCTAGACAGCACACCGCCCGCGCTCGAAGAGAAGGCGCCCGAGCGTCCGTGTCGTTGCTCGTCCTTGGTGAGCCTCTCGGAGGCTGCCCGTCGCCGCGGCTGGATCCGCGTCGAGGAACCTGGGCAGAAGCGACCCTGGGAGGGATCCCGGGTCAGAGTTTGAGCGGACGTGGGCCAGGAGGAGGAGGAGGCGGAGGAGGAGGAGGCGGCGCCGGATAGCCGTCGTTGTCTCAGCTGGCCTTCCCGCGAAAGACGGCCGTGGCGACACTGAAGATGGTGTCGCAGCTCATTCACGAGCCGGGGACGTTCCAAGAGGGGGCCGATGACAACGGCGGGCGGACCGGGCGGACGCCCTGGCTGGGGCCCTGATGCCTCACACTCGACTTCGCCCCCCCTCCGTCTTGCAGCACATCCCCTGGCCCCTCCGCGTCCCCGCGCGTGCCTCGGGCCATGCCGCGCACCCGCGCGTGCCTCGGGCCATGCCGCGCACCCCGTTTCCTCTTGGCACCCGAAGAAGCGACGGCACAGTCCTAAAGTCTGAGAGCTCCGCGCGGGTTGTGGTTGGACCGGCGCTGGGCCCGTCGGGCGGCGCCAGGTCACGGTTCACGGGAAGAGGGCGAAGTGGAGTGAAGCATTGTCGCGTCGTCGTTTATTTTTTGGGTTTCTGCCCATTTTGCCACCGCGTTTGGGTTGGCCAGTTTGGGGCCCCGAAGACGTCATGCGGAAGACGCCTCGGGCGCGCGGGGAGCCCGGTAGATTTGAGAATTTGAGGTTCCGGGCCCTTCAACAGATCTTCAGGCTTGAGGGCTGAGGCTCAGGGGATTGAGGAACGGGCCTGGAGACTCTCTACCTCGTGCCTCGCAGCACATCTATCCATATGTGCTGCCTGCCGAGGGCCCCGAAATATCGATCCCCCAGGCGGTGCTTATGGATACGTTCCCGCCTCGCGCCCATTGTTTTCGCATCCCTCTTATGTTGCCTTACCCCCCGTGCAAAGCCTCGTCGGCAACGACCCACGGACTCCCTTGGGGGGCACCCTTGTGGTCGACGGTGCTCCGCCAGTGAACGCCGCCAGCGGCCTTGAGCCGACCGACACCGAACGATCTGCTTTATTGGAACGCCTCGGTCGTCCAAGCTTGATAGATCCACTCGGCGTCAGGAAACAATCTCCAGGTCATCCTGCTAGGCACCTGCAAGATTCTCGGACCATGGAGGCAGGGGGTCTGTGCAGGAGGTCAATGTGTGAACACTAGTTGAAGACTCCTGGAAGCTCCTTTTGACTTCAAGGAGGGCGCTAATCAGCATCGTCAGAACCATCCCAACCGTTCAATTTCTGGGATAGAGTAGTACCCGCGCCAGGCGTGGATGGCTGCTGCGAATCCCGGAGGGGACGGCACCCATCACTATTTTTGTTGGGGGGGAGGTCGGTTGGCTAGCATGGGCAAGATTTCCCAGATTGTGGGGGGGTGTCCATAACTAATACAGTCAATGTATGCCTCCGCAACATTTCGGAAGGCTCCAGGATCGAGATCCTTTCGAAGCATACGAGTGCCCTTTCTAGACGAAGTAGTGCCACCGAAGGCGGGCGAAAACTCCCTGGGCCGCGCTCAAACGAGGTGTCCCGTGCAGGTTCTGCAGCGGCCATGCCGATCACACAGCCGCGCCGCGGCCTTACCGAGTTTCTGGCTCTCGCCCCACAGCCGTGCGTGGTTCTCGTTCTCCCCTTCCGCTCTCTCTTCCTTGTCGTTTTCTTCTTCTCCTTCCACTTCGCTCCTCCTCCAAGGTTAATAGTCATGGCTTCTGGCCTTCAGGTATCCCTGGAGACCTCTGGGGTCCTCCGCAGGACACGCCCCGTTTCAACCGTGTTGTTTGTTGTTCCTCGTTCTCTCCCTCGCTCCAAACGTACATGCATTTAGCTGTTGTATCTCTCTCTCTCTCTCGCGCGCGCTGTCCCTGTTGGCCTTGTTGGTGCTCCCCCCTCTGGGCGATGTCGGATGACAACCTCGCCGAACCTGGTCAGATTCATCCTGGGCTCAGGGTCGGTGTACGTACAGTCTCTAGCGGGCCCCGGGTTGACCGAACGATTTGGGGATTTTGATCGTTCTCCGATGACTTCTCGGGCAACCAGGGCCTCCGAGGTCTCAACACCGTGTGGTGACGGATCGTGCGGTGAGGTCGTCGGGGATTCCGAGGTAACCGCAAGGTCCGTCATGTGCACCGTTTCGGGACCCTCAACCCTTGGCTTGGCCAGACACGCTTAAACATCCTGGGCTCAGGATCGGCCCGGCCAGGATCGGTGATGCGGTCAGCTGTCGGCAAGTACGAAGGGTGTGATTAGGCTGGGGTGTGGCTTGCGATCTGTGTCGTTGGAGCTTGGGAGGAATCACGTTGTTCTCGCCTGGCCTCCTCGGGGTGCGGCGGAGAACTGTCGAGGCCCTCTCCCGACCCGCAGGGTGCGGGTTGCAAACCGCACCCTTCGCAAACCACACCCTTCGGAATCGCCCTGAAT